ACACACAGTGTGAGTCAACAGCAGTCATTGAAAATGCTCACACAAGGCTGGATGGGGTGGCTCACGCCTGTAATTCCAGCACTTTGGGAGGCTGAGGTGGGTGCATCAAGAGGGCAGGAGATTGAGACCATCCTGGCGAACACAGTGAAACCCTGTCTCTACTAAAAAGACAAAAAAGTTAGCTGGGCATGGTGGCAAGTGCCTGTGGTCCCAGCTACTCGGGAGGCTGAGGCAGGAGAATGGCGTGAAACCGGGAGGCGGAGCTTGCAGTGAGTCGTGATCGCGCCACTGCACTTCAGCCTGGGTGACACAGAGTGACTCCATCTAAAAAAAAAAAAAAAAAGAAAATGTGGCACGTTAATGGGTGTTATATTGCTTGAGAAACACCGTGAACACACTCTGTTTTCTGCCATAGAAGGGGTAGCTCCACAGCTATTCTGCACATCCCACCCTCATCTTCTGCAAATCGCTATTGGACTGAAGACAGATGACAGAATTGGAACAGGATCTAGAAAACCTCCTACTTGGAGAAGTATCTCCAAGTTCCAAGGTCTCACATACCCGCTGGGACCCACAGATACACCCATTCATTGGTCCCGGCCTGTCTTCCTCCAATGATGGTGTTTCCAGACCAACTTGGCAAGGGCCACATATTTCCCTCTCAAAACAAAGCACTAGGCTTAAGACATAGTTCCTGGATCTCTTGGGATCTGCTTGAAGTTGTAAGATTTCTGAGACAACAGCTACCTATCTCTTAGCAGGGATACATTTCACACTTGGATCAGTTGTACAAATGCGATATGGCAGAGATGGGCCCTGCTAGCAGACCATGTGGAAAAGGACTGAGGAGGTTTTGTTAATGACACACAGTGTGAGTCAACAGCAGTCATTGAAAATGCTCACACAAGGCTGGATGGGGTGGCTCACGCCTGTAATTCCAGCACTTTGGGAGGCTGAGGTGGGTGCATCAAGAGGGCAGGAGATTGAGACCATCCTGGCGAACACAGTGAAACCCTGTCTCTACTAAAAAGACAAAAAAGTTAGCTGGGCATGGTGGCAAGTGCCTGTGGTCCCAGCTACTCGGGAGGCTGAGGCAGGAGAATGGCGTGAAACCGGGAGGCGGAGCTTGCAGTGAGTCGTGATCGCGCCACTGCACTTCAGCCTGGGTGACACAGAGTGACTCCATCTAAAAAAAAAAAAAAAAAGAAAATGTGGCACGTTAATGGGTGTTATATTGCTTGAGAAACACCGTGAACACACTATCACTGGAAAGTCACAGCAGGCCTGGGTGCCATCGTTTATAAGAGACAGAAAAACTGGATCAGATTCAAAGAGTGGGCAGGAGAGGGAGGCCAGTTCTGCCTACATCTGAAAGTTTTAGAGGCAGGATTTGACTTCCTGAATGGCTGGCCCTGAGGAATCAATGGAACAGAGGGCGAAAACTTTAGAGAAATGAATTTTGATCCTTTACAAACTAAATGGTTGGACTACATGAGCTTTAAAATCATTTCCAACTCTAAACGTGTAATCTTTCGGGTCCCCTCTGAAGCCTATTCACCTCATTCCTATGAATTATCAGAGTACTTCTTTTTGATAAAAGGGAGAAGATGGCTGATTCTTCACAAATGGCTTCTGGGCAGTGGCTCTGTGGCATCTTCTTTCATTTAAAAGGTAAAATAAAAGCGTTTGAGTTTAAACCACAAGGAAAAACACGAGGCACAGTCAGGAGGATCTTTCATAGAGGGGTCAGAATGATCCACCTGTGGTCGTCCCACCCATCCATGTCACTGAGTTGACGAAGCCAAACTGAAACAATCCTGGGGTAGGAGTGGGATTCATGACATTCACTTCATTGAAAGAGGGCAAATAAATCACAAAAGAGAAAGCTCCAGATAAATATGTTTCATCTTTATTGGTTTAGACACATCACTTAAATACATCAGCCAAGACTACACCTAGGCAACCACTGTTCAGCACCTCGTAAGGATATGTTGGTTCTATTGCCTACCCCACTGGCCAAAGCCAGTCTGATGTCACAGACTTTAGACTGTGAGGGCCTGACCAACCACATAATGTAGACCCTTCATTCCAGAGAGGTATTGACATCTAAAGAGGTGAACTGATGGCCCAGACCAATTCAGTGGCAAAGCTGGGAATGGAACTGAAGTCCTTTGATTCCTGACCCTTCACTGCAGTGCCTCCTGACTGTAGTGAGAGCTCTACTCATTCCTCAGCCAAGTAAAGGGCATGTGTTCACCAATTATATGTGTCTGGGTCTGCACTAAAATTGATATGACTTATGATGTGACTTTGAGGCGCAGTCCCCATCCTGAAGTGCCCCATGGCTGGGGAGACATTCTCACAAAAAACCTGTGTGATCTACACTAATCAAGCTGCCTTGTGGGTGGATGTAAGAATTGTTTGAAAGATTTGGGTTTCAGGTCAAATGACAATCTATCCACTTTCAGGATATTCACTAAAAGGAACAGTCTTACCACTAGTTAAAACAAATTTCATATATTCAAGACCTTTAGTGAAACCCAAACTCTGCCAAGTATTTAAATAAAAATATTCCTTATGGTTGTATCTGCCCTACTCCATTTTTTTCTTGCTTAACTTCTATTTCACATATTATCCTAATAATGCTTGTAGTTTGTATTTTTTTTACACCCTGCTATACCTGGGGTGACAGAAAGGACAGAGGTTAGGTGTTAGGAGACATGCCACTAGCCATCTGGGCAACATCAGGGAAATCTTCCAGCCGTGCTAAGCTCCAAATATTCATCTGAAACAATGGATAAAACTGTTCTGCCTACTTCACAGGTTTGCTGTAAAGATCAAGCAAAATCGTGTATGTGAAAATGCCTGAAAAGTGTAAAGCAGCATTCAAATATATCGCATTAGTCTCTTTGCCATTTCCCCTCGTTCGTCTGGAGTCATATTCAGTGTTTGGCTTGTGCCTGCTGGCAGAAAGCACTTAGAATGGCGAATGGGGTCGCTGCTCCTAAGCACATTAGAGCAAGTTGCTGCCAGCACTTTTTATTTAAAAATAAAGAAGTGCCTCTGTCTTTGGAGGAGGTAATAGAAAAACCCTGGCTATGTGGCATCTCCTCAGCTTGAGTTCACCATGTCAAACGGCCTGCCAATTTCATCTCAGTTCAGTTCAGTTTAGGAACTGAAGGCGCCCCAGAGAATCCCACTGAATTGAACTGAACCTTCCCATGATACTCAGATGATGGGACTCAGATTCCATGAATTCCCTTACATTTCCCTCAACTGTAAGACTGGGACAACAATTGTCTCCGCTTCATGGGGGTTGTTGTAAAGATTAAATGAGGTGACTGTGTAACAAAGCTGGCACAAAATAAATGATAAACGCTAGCCAGCATTGTGATTTATTTATTGAGCATCCACCTGGGCCACACAACATGCTTACCTCCTGGGATATACAGACGGATAAGGCCTCATTCCTACTCTGAAGGGAGCTAAAGGTCTGTTACTGTAAATTAAAGTTAGGAGGTGCAGATACTTCACATTTCCAGAGACTTTGTTCCCCTAACAATGTCCCTGTACCTGATTTCCTGTAGAGTGTCATTGCAGGTTCATCATCTTGGGGGGCAGATCCCACCTAGTGTCTCCCAAGAGCGTGATTCTTAGACCGTGGGTCCCATGGCCTCTGTATACCCCATCAGTGAATACGGTTCGAGCTTAAAGGAAGTTGGGAACTGGCGAGAGCCCTCAGGTGATAAGGGGTTTGAGGAGCTCAGAGCTGCTGGGTCCACAACCACCGACGCTAAACAGCTTCTCAGCGCTTCCCGGGCCCGGGTAAGGATTGCAGCGCTTTTATTGCAGCAGTTGGAGAGCGGCGGGGGAATCCTCGAGGCCGCACCGCGGTCCAGGAGGCGCCGACATCTCCTTAAAGGCCCAGTTGGGGTGAGGGGCATTGGGGGGCGACCGGGCCAGAGAGCCCCGAGGTAACAGTTACACGTGGAGGGGAGGAAACTTTGCGTGTCCGAGAGCTCCCAGAGGCGGAGGGGCGCAGAGGGCCGCGGCCGTGTGGTGGCCGCACCGCTAGGCTGGGAAAGGGAGCACCACAGCCTCGCCACGGGACGCGCTGCCAGCCCCCCGCCCAGCGCACCCCACCCCCTCTCCTCCAACGCGCACGCAGCGCCGCGGCCCCTGTCAGAAGCTGCAGGATCCGCCCCGGCGAAGCAGAGCCGACTCGCACCCAGGACCCTGGGCCTCTGCTTTCCCTCCTAGCCTCGGAGAAGCAACCGGCCCTCTCCTCCTGCTGAGGAGCGACGCGGGCTGGTAGGACGTCCCAGGAAGGCCGGCAGCTCGCGACCGCGTCCCGGCCCTGCCCGGGCGCGCCGAGGAGCAGAGCCAGGGGCCGGCATTCGCTCCGGCTCCCTCCCCGGCGCTCCGGAGCCGAGGGCGGCTCCTGCGGCTGCAGTCTCGGGGGCGACGCCTTCCCGGGCCGAAGCTTCCAGCAGCGCTCCGCAACTTCTCTCTGCTCCAGTCACTGGGAGAGAGCTCGCCTACCAGGTAAGTAAGGCTACCCGTGCCTAGGCTGTCGCTCGGGCGGGCGTGTTTCTGAAAGTTGATTTGAAATGCATCCAAGACTGAGCCAGGCCAGCCGGGGCTCCTCCCCGAGGCGACTCCTTTGCTTCTGCAGACATTCTCGGCACTGGCCGACTGGCGGGAGGACCTCCCTGCGCGTCCCGCACACCGGCTCCCGCGCGCCCCCCAGCAGAGTGTAGCGCCAGGAGTCCAGAAGCGGGCGGGACGCTCTCCGGGTCCCTTACTGTGCCCCTTCTCGACCCGGGGCAGGTGAGGGCCGCAACGCGGCGGCTGGGACGCGGGATTGCAAACCCCATCGTCCCGCGTGCCTGGACCCCGTCGCGCGAGGGAGGGAACCCACTCTTTATATACCCATCATACCCCAGTAGCTGAGTTCCTGCAGAGACGTCCCGAGGGCCCACCTTCGTATAGGTTGGGGCGGAGTCGGATTCGGGATGGAAAACCTGGGGCAAGGGATGGATGTGGGGGTGGGGGGGCGGCAGGAGAAGGAGAAACGCAGTTGGGGGGCGGAGGCCTAAGTACATAATGTGTTGACTTCAAGTGAAATCAGATCAGTCAGAGCAGTTCGCAGTGGCTGATCTCTCCTCCCACCCTACATGCTCTTGGCTGGACTCTCTCCTCCTGGCTGATTCTGGTCGCCCTGGACCCTCCCTCCGTTCTTTCCCAGGAGTGCGGTGGCTGCGGGCGCCGAGTCCCAGCGGACACGGACGTCAGACGCATCGTTTCTTCTCCTCTACAGGTCCTCCTGGCCCGGCCCGAACATGCTGGACGGCCTAAAGATGGAGGAGAACTTCCAAAGCGCGATCGACACCTCAGCCTCCTTCTCCTCGCTGCTGGGTGAGTGTTCAGGCCGTGCGTCCTGGGCGCACTCTCTTTCCCGCCTGGCCCTGAGGTCTGGAGCCCCGCTCTTTGGGACCTGGTCCGCGATAGGGGAGCTAGCGCCCCTCTTCATGCACTAAACTGAGCCCCATCACTATCTGTCCGTCAGTCCTTGTGGGTCGTCCCTATCCAAATAAATCCAACAAGCCGCCCCAGGCCTCACGCACCGGGCACTGAATTCCCCAAAGCCGCGAGGGGCGGGCGAGCTTGTTCGCAGGCGTCTGAATGGCAAGTGATTAAAAACACCCAGGGCTGGATTTTTAATCTCGGAGCTGATCGACGTCTCATAAATGCCGCCCTCTTCTCACGGCCTAGAGGCAGTAGCATCCGAGACCCGAGGCCTGGAGCGCCCAAGTTCGAGGCGGCTTCTCTCCCCCACCAACTCCAGCCACAATTTCAGCCATAGGCACGGCCGAGAGAGACTTTTCCGGGCCGATAGGCAGCTCAGCGCGGGGATTAGACCGCGCGGCGGGGCCCTAGCCTCCGCGTTAATTAACTGGAGCTGGATGCCGGGTCCTGTGGGTCCCCCCTCACAACTCCTTTGCAGCTACAGAGTAGGAGCAGCGAGTCAAGGACCCCGGAAGAGTGTCCACACACGGGTCTTGCAGAGCTGAAGCCAGAGATTCTGGTTACGGCTTCCCCAACCACTCTGCCCTCGGAGCTTTTCAAGTTTGGGAAGCCCGAGTTTTATTTTGTTTTATTGTATTTTTATCAGGAGGGATTTTTCGTTCTGGCCTTTAAACTTCTTGACTCTTTCACTCGGAACCGCTAGAGCGGCATGAATGTGGAGGATGAGACAGTTCTGCTGGAGAAACCAAATCCAGAGAGGAATCTCCTCACCTCCAACACCCCAGATGAAACGAAATCACGTGCACTGAGCGCCCCTCTTTGAACCCCCCTTTCGGGAACTTTTGGACTTGCCCAGCCTCGGAAGAGAGCGGAGGCCAGAGCAGGCAGTACCCGGGCGGGTAGCGGGTGCGGATTTATGTATACAGCGGGCGTCGCTTTTTGCTCTGTGCCCTCCGTCCGGCCCACGTTCGCTCTCAACGCCCAGGTCTTGGCCCAGGACGCCGGGACCCTACCGAAAGAAAATAGAACTGTAAAATTGAGGTCTATCGCTGCTTCTCCTAACCTTCCGCGTCCGCTCCCCAAAGCGGCAGGTTCAGCTCCCGAGCCGGTGGCCTGGCCTCTCGAAAGGGGAGAGTGGACAGAGAGTGCAGCCGGGAAATGGGGAGCGCAGGAGTGTTGGTACTGGGGGGACAAGCGCAAGAGTGTTGTTACTGGGGGACAAGGCCTTCTTTCAATAGCTGTGAAAAGTGCCAATAAAGGTGGCCAAGCGTCGCCACCTGAACCACCTCTCCGCCTCCCACAAACTAAAGGAACAAAACACAAAAAGTCCAAGGGGTAGCGAAGAGTAGATTCCCTGCCTCCGCTGAGTCGCTTTGAGGCCCGTTTCGCCCTCAAGCACTGCTGCCGAACGCGCCTGGCATTGGGAATCCCGGCCGGGACACTCCGCGGCTTGCTGCTTCCGCTAATTTTTTCCCTCCCTCTGTTTTGACGCTTCTTAGTTATGAAAAACTCATGTGCAATTTGCATGGCAGTCAAGACTCAGCGGTTTGGGGTTCATCGGTTTGAATAATATTAGGTTTGCTACGGAGTGAGACGATATTTTTCTGTACCCCCAGGACTTTTTAGGAAGAAAAGAGAAAATTTTATTTCCCCTCAAAAAATAGAACAGAACTCTGCGTTTTAACAAAGAAAAATCCAAATTGTTCTTATGCATTCTCAGTTTTTAAAACAGTCAGAGACAGGCATAGTGATTTAATAATTAATTACGACGTAATAAACCTGAGAGCACAAATTTGTATGTAATTTAATCTTACAGGATGTGCACACGTTTGCGAGCATACCTGGGTATGTTTGTTAATTAAAGGCCAATTACTGATTTCTGTACCCTCCCCCGCTAGGAATTAAACCTTCTCACATAGTCTCCGTTTGTTAGAAACGCCACTTGGTTTGATTTTTTCCAAGTCTCAGCTTGGTTGATTAGCAGAGACTCCCTGGGTTGGGGGGCGCTGGGGGAATCCGTGAGTGTGAAGGGATCAGAAGCGGGTCCCAGCCAGGTTTGGCATGGTCGACCTGCCCGGGCTGCTCACCCGCGAACGTCTGTTGCGGCTACAGGCAGAGCGGTGAGCCCCAAGTCTGTCTGCGAGGGCTGTCAGCGGGTCATCTTGGACAGGTTTCTGCTGCGGCTCAACGACAGCTTCTGGCATGAGCAGTGTGTGCAGTGCGCCTCCTGCAAAGAGCCCCTGGAGACCACCTGCTTCTACCGGGACAAGAAGCTCTACTGCAAGTATGACTACGAGAAGTAAGTAGCCGCGCCCCCGTAGCGCTCCCCACGCACTGGCATCAGTGTGCGTCGAGGACTTTGTTCTCCTTTACCCTAGTCCTGTTCTGGAAGGCCCAAGAGGCACGCCCAGCGAGCAGAAATTCCCTTCAGCCCAGTCGTGTACATTGCCTCTCACGGGAAGGTGGTAGGGCAGAGATCCGCGCGGGTGCGCGCAACAGTGGCCCGAGTCCCGCAGAAGTGCGCGCGACGGCTCTCCTCCACTGTCTGCTCGCCTACTTTCTAGTCCTCCCAGGCCCCTTTCTCTGACTCGGCCATTCCCGGAGGCCACTCTTTGTTAGCCTTGGAATCCCTCAAGCTTGGTCTCCCCCAAGCTTGGTCTCCACTTTTTACCGGGGTGCCCTGCGGGTTGCCAGTGACCCCGTGTCTCCTTGCTGGTTCTCAAACCATGTTACCCAGGTGTCCGCGCCGGCTTCGCGCCTGTGCCGTGCGGTGAGACTGTATTGACCCCGCAGCTTCTGTCCCCTGTGCCCTGTGCGCGTTTCCCGCTCGGGTTTGTTCGCTGGAGTCCGGATAGTTTGGGCTCGGAAATGGCGCTGCTGCCATTCCGAACTAGGCGCACAGCCCGTTCGCCCTTTCACTGTCGCCTTCCTGGTTTTCTCCAGAACCTTCTGATGCAGGGGCTTTTAGGACAGTAGTTGGGGCCTGAACTGAAGCCCTCTCCTTCAACCTGTGCCTCTACCCTAGTTCAGGTGTGGATATGCTCTTCTGCACGGAGCAGGTTCAGTTCCCTCCTGTCCACACGAACGTTCTGGTATGTTTAGAGGAGAACTGGGAGGCGGGCATTTAAGAAAGTGGATATTTCGAAACTAGATTTTTATAACACCAAAGCCTGGATGAGGCCAGAAAGTGGGAGGCAGAGAACTTCCTTATTCTCTCCGGGCGTGCCGGTAGGAGCTTAGGAGGTGTAAGGAGAGGGAACGGTTTTTCCTTGCGAAATGTTTAATTAATAAGGGTATTGGCTTTGCAGGGCTTTGGAGATGATTGAAGAAAAGTGGCTGATCCAGAGGTCTCTTTTTTGTGCATTAGGACTGGTGTAGGTTGACTGTGTGGACGCGCGCGTGCACGCGCAAAATTCTGCATTTGTCACTGGTGAATGAAAGAAACAGCATTACATGAAGATAATCAAAGGAAGGTTAGCGTGCGTGAAAAGCAGTTCTATCATGTTATTAAAAACACAATGAGAGGGGCTGAGCGGGAGAAGTCTCTGTATAGCAAAAAGCACTGAGAATAAATAGAAGTATTTCTTTTCCTGTTGTCTGGGGCTATGCAAGTTTAAAAACTTGACAAAGTGATTAGACCCTGTGACCACACAAAAAAATTGTTTCTGCCACTCCGCCTTTTTGCCCTAAAATGCTCGAATTTTACCCCCATGTGGAGAGAGTACTAGGCATTTTTTTTTGTCGTTTTGAAAAGATAATAGCTTGGTTTTTTTCAGAACTAAAAGAAATGTGTGCTCGATTTTGGATGAATTGGACAATATATAAAAAGTGAAAACTCCTTATGACAACCTATGAAGTGATCATTATGGATAACATTTTTGAAAGAAGATATGCCTGTCTCTATTCTTGGTTGTCTGTTTATTGACATGGTGTCTGAGTGAAAAGTGTAATTTTTAGGTAGTTAAATAGATTTAGCCCACACAACTTCAAGTATCACCTTTGAATAAAGCTTCTGGCTGATTGCTCGCTTTTTTCTCTCTCGCTTTTCATCGAAAGGTTTTGGTATTGTGTAGACCCAATCTTTAACTTTCTGCTTATAGATTACTGAAATGTCCACATCCTTCAGGCACAACACTGGCAAATTCACAAGTATTGGGGCTTAGGAAAGGATTTGGATTGTGAATTTCTATTCTGTTTGTTAAAAAAAAAATCACGAATCAAAGAAGGCTTAAGGGTCAACACAGCTGTCTGGCCAGTCAAATCTTCTTTAAGGAAGTCAGGCTGTGTCAAGAGGAGAAGAAACAGTTGTTGTAAAGTACTTAACACAACAATGTCCCTTCCATTTCAGCCCTCCAGGTTTGGCGCGGTTTGGGCTTATTAGCCCAGGAGGGTCAGTTCTCTCCTCACAAAGCTATTTCTGCAAAGGGAAAATTGCAGGGATCAACTTGCCAGCTGTTAGCCAGAACCAAGAAGATTTTACAGAGGGATGTGAGCTACATTGTTCAGAGCGGTGCTGACATTTCAGTGAAGGATTTTAATTTTATTTTTAAAATATTTTTGGAACCATAGATTTCTAAAAATTGAGTTTTTTGTCCTCTTTAGCTCATGGCATCATAGCAGTAGTAGCCTGTGCTTAGCCCATCAATTGCTTGTTAGGTTAACTTATTCCTTTTTAAAAATTCCTTTTTTCTCTTCTCTATCCTCCGTTCCAATTCTATTCTTTTTCCAATAAAATAAGGTTTGAATATATTTGATAATCTTAATGGTCTTAGTCTGCATGGTGGTATCTGTAGGAGAAAAAGGAGAGGGATTTTTATTTGTTTGTTCTGTAAAAAAATTAGCCTCAGGACAAACTTCTGTATTCAGTAAGCTTTTATGGAGCTTCTATATGCAAGACGCTAGGCTAGATGAGGAGAGAACAATGAGAAAAAGTCTCAGAGCCTGCCTTCAGGAGGCTTATAGCTCAACACTTTTTCCATCTGTGTTGTCCTTGCCATCAAGTATTTATCAAAGCCTTCTTCCATTTGGAGTGTAGGACTAGATATTGCACAGAAGCTATCGGGAATAGCCAGATATTTATCCTCCAGAGGGAACACAACTCAGTTTTAGGCAATAGTCCTGAAGCAATTACAAAGAGCATTTTTCCTCTTTAAAAAATACAATTGTAAAAATAGCTTTGCTTTTTCTTTTTTTTTGGTGGATCTTTGAAAAATTTGATGCCAAACAAAGTAAATGGGAAGAAAATGAGGTGAAAGTTAAGTGGTAAGACAATGTTGATGGTAAGTTAGGGAGCACTTAATAAAAAATGAATATGCAGGCAGCGCCTTGGTTTCCAAATTTCATGAAATTCAAATGCTGTTTCTACACATTTAAATGAAAGAATATATAGTGAATGCACAGTTTTCAGTGTCAATCATAGGCATAATGTTAACAAAGCAAGTTTATCACATTTATCTTAGCCATCTGTATGTGAATTTCTTGCTGTTGGGCAGTTTTGCATTTGAATTCTTAGCTGTCTGTTTATGGTGTTAGGCAACCAGTTAAAAAGTTAAAATTTCATTCTCTCAACTAGTTGTTACACCTTCACAATGTCAAACACCAAGTTTTTCTAATTAAAAAAGTAGTATTGACAGTGATGTCTTGCACACACAACTATTCATCGGAAGACTTCAGGATGTTTTATTAAGTATTTTTCTCATATACTGCGATGCCATTAGGAATAATTTATCTTCTGATTACTCCCAGAAAATAAGCATTTAAGGCAAGAGTGTGGAACACGGATTTACTAATGTATAGAAATTAAGAACTGAAGGCTATCTTTGTTATGACATGTCAACATGGAAAAATAGATAGTTTGGTGGGATGACAACATTTATACAATTGATGAATCTGTACCATGTCATATGAAACATGAGGATAACATAGGTGTAGATGTTTTGAAAGTGGATTCAACTGTCTTCAACGTTCCTGAAACTTAGCAGACAACCAAAATATTTTCCAGCTTCGGGGACTTCTATTTATATAACTGTTGTTCCCTATTTAACTGAGTCCTCTATGATCTGGTTAGTTTGGAGTTTTCCCTGAATTTGTTCCAAACAAATACTGCAGTTGGACTTCAGTCTGAGACAGAAGAGACTGCTGAATAACGGGAATGTGGTAATACAATAGATAATTAAGCCCTCTGGAAGGGATCCCACAGTTAAATCAAGTTTTTATTGTTTCTTTCATGTGCCTGGCTCTGTGGGTCAGGCGGGGCCCTCTGCCCTCACATATGAAGTTTATCATGATCCCTTGGATTGCTCTGGACATCCTAGGAGCAGTGTGGGATAGTATTGCTGTCATCAGGGCTGTTCTCACAACATCATAACTCCCCGCATGTCAGCAAATCACAGGCCTTGGGAAACCTTTCCTCAAAGAGCCAGTGGATGTTTTCTTCCCTTTCTTTTGGAGCAGACCAATTTTCCAAAGAAAGGGACTGAAAAAGGGGAAAGTGGCTGTCACACTTAGAGCTTTCTCTGCATCTTTCTTTGGACCCGCTGATTGGCAGCTCCGTGGTGAAAAAGACTTAGGTAATGATATCTATTAGCATCAGTAATGAACTAATTCTGCATTTTATCAAGGTAGTCGAGGAAGTGTGTGTGTGTGAGGAGGAGTTAGTTTAGTTTTATTACTGTGACATTACTTGGAGATCAAAATTGGGCATGCAGTTACTCATGAAAGGGGCCGGCAGATGGAATGACAGAGGCAATTGTTACATTTTTGCTTTACTTTATCTTTTGTTGGCCCCACTCCTGGCACAATAAAATTTCAGGAATATAAAAATCAAACACAGCTAGGCAATAAACTGATGTCTGTGTTAAATTGTAGGGGGCTTAGCTTGGCGTAAGCACCATCCATGGGCTGTGGTTGTGTTTGTGCAGGCACTTAATCTCTCTCTCTTTTTCTCCCTTTTTAATTTTAGAGGGTGATTGGAAGCATTCCTTGCTCGGAGGTGTTTTCTCTTTTTATATGTATTGGTCCCTGGGAAAGACTTTCTTGGAATCTAAGACTTAAAATTTTGCAATAAAATTAGATAGCAGGAGTAGATATTAATAGTATTCTGGGAATTAAAATACTAGATATGAACATTCCTTTTTACAGTAGGCTTATGGGATTCTTTTGATCCTTACATAAATGGAACACATTTTTAAAAGTTATTTATTCAGTCTAGTTTTACATATTACACCTACCTGGCTAGGAAATAGCTTTTGATATTCAGATTTTAGTGCCAGTAACTTTCCTGATCGTTCATTGTTCTCT